AGTCGCGGGCGTGGAAAACGGGCCGGGGGAGACGGCCGCTGTCTCGTGAGGCTCTTCAGTGAGGGTGTGACTAAGGGCTGTTTCCCTCGCCATTGCGGCGGGGGGGTGCTGCCGCGTGTCCTTTCTCACGAGCTCTCTGTTTGTGAACTACCGATTTCTGCAGGGCCTTGTCCCCAGAGCCTTTCAGAGTTTCTTAGGAAGTCTCAGCGATCTCACCACCCTTCCATCCAAGCGGCACCCTACATTCTCTTTGTTCTTGCTTCGATTTTAGCAGACTCCGATCTGCTCTGACGGGCTCGTCTCTGACGCCTGCCCCATTCAGGCCTCTCACTGGGCCCTGGACATGCTGTAGCTAGCGAGTGCGAGTTGATTTTGGTGCAAAAAATTTTGAAATCCATGATCGCTTTGCATTTTCCATGAACTTTTGAAGACCCCCCTCCATGCATGATACATGGTTTTGTAAAAAGCACACATACTGGAATTCCAAAACCATAGTACAGAACCGAAAGCTGGAAAGCGAGTGTGCGGTGGTTGGATGAGCACGTGGGGGCAGGTCGCCAAGACCAGCTGTGAAGGAACGGGGCGGACGAGGCCAGACTACCAAGTCGCGGAGAGGAAACTCAGACGCTCGCCGAGGTGTTGAGCAAGAGTTACCGCTTCTGTGGCCGAACGTCGGTTCACCTGGCTTGCAGGTGACACTGTGGCGGCCGTGGCACGTTGCTGTCCCTCCTGTGAAATGACGGGGCGGGAGTTGGTGCCGACCTGTGTCCCGAGGCAGAAACCTGGCGAGGAGCCCGTACATTACCTGTTGTGAGACAGGCTATTTTTGGTTTCGGTCACATTGCCCAAAAGATAAGGAATTTCAGGAATTCTGCCGAACTCTTCTGAAATCAAGTCCAAGACAACGGGCCTTTCACAGGCTCTGAACCTGTGACATTGGGAGTGCTGTTTGCCTTGCTTCCCGGAGCTCCAGGAGGGAGGCTCCGTCCTGGGACAGGGCTGGCAGCGGGGCGGCTGGACGGGTCACCCGAGGTCTGAGAGCAGGTGCCGCCGCGCCGTGCAGAAAGCCGGTTTTCAGTGCGTGGCGGGAGCTCTCACTTGTCCTTCTGTCCCCAGGGATTCCGGCGCCGTCCTCCTTGCCCTTGCCGCGTGTGGCCTGGGGGGGGGGTTCATTCTGAGCCTGTTGAGTCAGAGCTTCCTGGCCTCCTCCCTGGGTGTCTCTCGAGTGAGGAGATGATGCACATGACGCTGCTTGGAAAACAAAGTTTTCTAGAATTGTTAGCCATTTCGTTCACTAAGGCGGGGTCTTTTTGGTGGTAGGAATAATTCCTCTGTAAAGTGAAAGGAGTGGTATTCTGAGGGAAAACGAAGTGGCTGCTGAGAAGCTATAAGTCCCTTGTGTTTGTTGGCTTCAGCTTTGTCACTGTGGTTTAAGTAATTTAGGGTTTAAAGGCGTTCAGGAGGACTGAGAACTTCGCCTGCAGCTGAAATTGAAGGAGCATTCAAAAATCTGTTTCTTAAGTAGTATGCGGAACGAGACTTCTGCTTGCTTTGCGCATGTCGTAAGCATGCCGTAAGCATGTTGCAAGCACGTCGTAAACATGTTGTAAGCATGTCGTAAGCATGTTGTAAGCATGTCGTAAGCAGTAGCTCTGGGGATAGCACAGAAGCCCCAGAGACAGCCTTGCTCAGGCCGCAGGTGCGACCCGGCTCTGCGGGGAGCCCTGAGGTCTGGGCGACGTCTCTGCCCTGCAGGCCAAGATGGTGGCTCTCCCCTGTGGGCGAGTGTGAGAGCCACGGGAGTGGTTCTTACTGCCCGGAGGAAGCAGCTCCGCAGAGAGGAGGAGTAAGCGGTGGGCCGTGTCACGGTCAGGCAGAGGTGACTGTCACCAGAAGGCGTGCCACTGGACTCAGGTTCCTGAGCTCTCGCTGTGTTGGGTGACGTGGGGGCTGGGGGCAGGGAAGTCTTAGGACACCTGATGACTAAGAGCAGTGAACACGCGTCGTCCATGCATGCCAGGGAATGATAGGGACGCCCGGGTCTGTGGGATGCTCAGGGGCTTTCCTGAGGCAATAGGCTCAGTTCCGTGGGCAGGAGAAGGGGCGATTCCAGAGGGAAGGAGTCTCTTCCTCCACTTCTCCGTCCTCCCCTCCTTCCCAGCGCCCGTCCCTGTGTCTGCGGTATGGATTTCCTGGGTAAAGGCATCCTCAGCGAACCCTCAGTCCACACCGAGGGCGGGCTACCCCGGCTGCATTCGTGGTAACGACTGTCCAATAGTGCAGAGGCTTGATGCAAGTAAAACATAAATCCACGGGAAAGTGAAATCTCGAGCCTCACACAAGCAGGTTTCCCGCAGCCCACGAAAGTGACTTAGTCTTGCTGAGAGCGTGCTGAACCCATCGGCAAAGGTGTGTGTGTGAAATCGTTATCGAAGGCCGCGGTGTCCCAGGCACTTCACACGGGCCACTTAGTCCTCACCAGGACTCGTGACGTCGGACGGGTGCTGTCACGCTTCCTGAGACGAGGCAGGTGGACAGAGCAGCGGCCCGACCGGCTGGCTCGTCCCCCCTGGACCGCCTCCGCCTGGGCCAGGCGGTGCTCCCTCGACGCCCAAGGATAAGAGCCGTCCGGAAATGTGGGGCAAGCTGTCACTCGGCACTAGGGACGGCTCCAGGGGCCGACCCCTGAGCTCACAGCTCCCGAGCCGCGTGACCCTGGGCACACCGCCGACGTCTGCCTGGGTTTCCTTGCCTGTGACGTGGAGGTGTCTTCCGGCAGCGTGCGGTGGGGGTTATGTGATTGAAGTACCCACAGCCTCGCCTGAGCACGCTCACTAGGGCTGGTACCCCAGAGCTAACGCTGAAGACACGGTCCTCTTCCTGATGACCTCCAGGTCGGCCATGGCGAATGTCTCGTCTTCGGCCATTTCCAAGTTTGTTGGGCAGGATGATGTATTCTAAACAAGGTCACGCACACTTTTTTTTTTTTGGTAAGAGGTAGCTGGCACACTGACAGAGCGTCCCTGATAAAAGATGGTCTAGATTTATTTTTCCAGGGGAAAACCTGAGTACCGGTCTTCTCCACCCGCTGTGCAGCTTCCTCGGAGTTCGGGTCTCGTTTGAGGGGTTCACTCGGCCGCGTTCGTTTTCCAGCACTGCTTCCTCCTGATCTGTGACGTAGTTCTTGGGATCTTCGTGAGGACCGAGTCAACGACGCACATGAAGTGCAGAGTGCGCGGGGACCACGCGGGGCTTGCTGGGACTCCCGTCCTGGCCTGTTGTCACTCCCCAGGTGGGAATGGCGTGGGCAGAGTGCAGACATGCATGTAGACCTGCCCCGCCAGGCGGGCTCAGTTCTGCGGTAAACATCAGCCCTTCTTAGGGTCCTGGCAAAGGGGTGAGGGGCAGGGGAGGCGAGCGTGCTCCCTGTCCAGTGGAGAGGCCATGGTGGAGCGGGCAGTCGCGGTACTTCCTGGACGCCCGAGTAGAAACACCAAGGTCACGTGGTGCGCAAGTGTGCGCCGGTTTCCTTGGGTCAGGGGGTTGTAAAGTCTCACTAAGACCAGAGTACGAAGGCCCTTCAGGGTCCATGGGAAGTGGATCTTAGGGGAAAACTGCATGGGTTTCAGAATTTCTTGCTCCAAAATAAACTTGTACTTGAATTCCGTTCTGCCACCGAGTTTTTGAAGCCTCCCATGATTGGGCGGAAGGTACACCAGGTAAATCGACCTGGCCCAGTAGCGGGAGCTCCGTGAGGAGGAGTGAGGGGCCCCTGGCCAGTCCAGTCTGCGTGGATGCCTGGCCAGGGCTGCCGGGACAGCAGTGTGGACAGTAACTCTGAGTTACAGGGAACCCTGACACTCTAGGCTCTCGTTTTGTTTTAATGCAGGTTTGCTGAGGTCTGACTTAGACACAGTAAAGCTGCCCTCTGAGGACGTGGTCTGATGACTCTGACAAACTCGCGATCCCGTAGGCACCATCAGTCCAGCTGCAGGTTTCCCATCACCCCAGAGGTTCCCGCGTCTGTCCCACTCCGCTTCCTGATAGCATGTGTCGTGTGAAGTGAGTCGCACTGTCCCAGGATGGTCGCCACGTCCACCTTCCTCCAGCCCTGGCCCTGCAGTTGCTCATTGACTCTGCAGGCCGAAGGTGAGCGTGGCCCACTGTGGCCATTTGCATGGAGAACTCTGCACTCACCCAGGCGGGAATTTGGAAGGAAACAGTGTAGCTTTTCCCTCTCAGGTGGACTTTCCAACGCCTGATGCACCTGCTAAGCAGTAATGTTTCTTGCCTCTAGAAACCACTTACTTTCTCCTAAAGAGAATCCTCCCGGAGCGCGGAGCCAGGTGTGTTTGCGGGCGTCTCAGAAAGCGGTAACTTTGGGCACATGGCCCTCGAGAGTTGTGATGGGCACGTGCTGAGCTAAGTGCTAAAATCCGAGCCGGCTCGGGCTTCCCCGCCAGCTGCGGCAGGGTCTGTGTTTTCCATGCCACAGAAAAGTTGTGACTGAAAATGAAAAGAAACGAAAACGTCCACCCTCGGTTTTCCTGCAGTTTTGCTCCTCGAGAAGATCGAGCATGACGACGTGGGCAACAAGACGCTCAAGATCACAGACTTCGGGCTGGCGCGGGAGTGGCACGGGACCACCAGGATGAGCGCGGCCGGCACCTATGCCTGGATGGCCCCCGAGGTCATCAAGTCCTCTGTGTTTTCCAAGGGCAGCGACGTCTGGAGGTGAGTCCATCTGCGGGGACTGGTGCCATGTTTCACGGGGTGAGCCCCAAAGCGCTCTGTGATCCTGTGTGTGTAAAGAGTAGTCAGCCTTGAGGCCAGCAGATGGTGTAATGGCTACGTCACTGGACTCCCACAGTCAACCACAGTTCGAGTCCCGGACCCAGCAGCTTAAAACTCACACTGGGTGTGTGTGCATGTGTGCCCAAATTCCTGGGAGGAGAATGGAGGAGAAGGGTTTGCAGCATGACCATCTCTCCCCCCCGAGGGTGATTTTTCACTTTCTGGCAAGCACATGCACCCTATAGCAAAAATCTCTGTCCAAAAATAAAGAGTTGTAGGTCTTTTCGAAGAGGCTTTATGACTTTGATCAGTGGCCATAGAACGTTGGCATATGTCTTTTTCTTGTTTAATATAGAGTTTGATGGGAACTGGCTAACATCAATGCCAAGGTTTCATAAGACCTGCCAGCAAATAAAAGTAGATTCTGGGAGCGGGCAGTGGCACAACAGCAAGGTCTTAGGTTCACGCCCCAGGACTGCCCTGAGCACACCAGCGGCGCACACGTGCCCATGACCCAGGCCCCACGAGGAGGGTGGATCTGGGCGTGAAGATGATGTTGGGGTTCCTCCCTCTGTCTCTCTGCCGTAGAAGACATGAACAAACCTTTTCACATATAAAGTAAATTTCACCTTAAGCAATCTTTTGATTCCTCGTGACTCATACAATATCGGCGTGGGAGGAGTCCGAGGGGAATCTACCCTGTCCTTGCACGTGGTACATTGGCTCACCTAAGGGTTCGAGCCTCCACTTTGAAGATGGGTGGCTGGACTCTGGTGGGCACCTGGTCATCTCCGTTTCCTGCTCAGTTGTCTCGGGAGGGCGAGGGAGAGGCCAGAGTTCCAGAAAACAGGAGAAATGGTGCCACTGAACAGCTCCGGGGCGCCAGGAGCTTACTCCTTTTATGTAACATTCGTGAAGTCCTGTGTGGCAGGCATGATGGGTTCAGGTTTTTCTGTTGTGTTGAGCAGCTTTGTTGAGCTCATTTGCATGCCACGCTGTTCACACATTCGAACCACGCAGTTGCATGGCGTAGCAGTAGGGGCGTGTTCATCCCCAGTCAATTATAGAACATTTTTATTCCAAAAAGAAGCCCCATGCTCCTCACCCCTCCCTCCTGTCTCCTTCCTGCCCATCCTAGGAAGCCCCGTTTGCAGTTCCGTGTCTTTAGATGTGCGGCATCCGGGTGTTTCCGGGACATGGCCTTTATGGCGTTTGCCCCTTTGTGACTGGTTCTTTCCGGAGCGTGCTGTTCGGGGGCTCATCACGTCACAGCACCTGTCAGCGCTTTGTTGCTTGGTGGCTGAATGTGCGGACGGGCCACGTTTTGTTGGCTGTGTGTCCGTCGGTGGGCGTTTGGGTTGTCTCCACGTGGCTCTTGTGGATAGTGCCGCTGCAAGCGTCCGTGGACAGTGTCGTGAGGGCTGTGTTCAGTTCTCACGGGGGAGCTCCTAGGACACGAGGCTGTATGGTGACCCTGTGTTTGGTCACAGGGGAGCTGCCAGACGGTTTTCCAAAGCAGCCACCCTGCCCCTTACTCCCACTGGTAGCACGCGAGGGCTCTGACCATGCCACAGCCTCGCCGACACTTGTTAGCAGACTAGGATTCTAGCCATACACGTAGGTAAGTGATAATCTCGTTATGGTTAAAGTCTGGGGGTTTTGGCTTTTGGTTTTTCTCATAAAAGAAAATTAGAGCTGAGAGAGGAGTTGTCACTTGCTAAGAGTTCATTTCCGATAAGTGGCAGACCTCTATTTAAACTCAGATCTGTCTTGACTTCCAAAATCATGATCAACAGAAATTGTTTCCCCATGTAATCTGTGGATACTAAAGTTACTCCGTCAAGTTCACACATGAAGTTAGCAGCAGAGACCCTCCCCCATCAATTAAAGTGTTACGAAGTTGCTCTGCATTTATCTGGAGCTTACCCTCTGCATTTAGACGACGATTTCATTGTTCCTGTTACTTTCAAAAATTTTATCAATTGGGTCAAAGCTCCTAACTGTCTTAGGGTTGGTTTTAAAATACACACGTTTAAGCCCTAGTCCTGCTTAATAGTGCGACTCTACACTGGCAGAAGCTGATGTGTGCTTTTATAAAGCGTTAAAAGTGTTTTCTCTGATTTAATTATAGTAATTTTCTAACCATATGAAAATACCAAATTACATTAGTGAAGTAAGTGGCTATCCTTTTAAGAAATTATACTTAAAGACTAAAAACTATTAAATGCATTATAAATCAAATTTACATTCAAAATGATATACTCTTAAGACCGTCAACATTTCGCTTTGTGTGCTTCTGTTATAGACCAGGTAATTACGAGGTGCACGGACCCTGAGCAGTCATGCTTTACAGTGCCCCGTCTGTTATAAACAAAGAGAACCAGATCTTACACAAAAAGGAAAAACACACGCTTCTAAAACCAGCCAGAATGTGGGTCTTTAAATCCGTACACTGGGTGGAGAGGCCTCCTCTCAATATCGATTTAATCAAGTAATCTGGTCTCAGTTTTATAAACCTTGGTGATCTGATTTTCATTAAAAGCAGCTAATTGGAAGAGGTGAGACAGGACAAGCCGGTAATAATGGGGGAAACGGCAGATGGAGGCAGAGCAGGTGGTGGGAAGGAAATGCGTGCAATACTTTGAAAAGGAGTAAGGGGCTCCCCAGAGCCCCCAGCCCCCGCAGCTGTGTGTGGAGACCCTCCAGGTCTCCAGAAGGTCCTGGACACTGAGGCATTAGGCTTGGCGAGGGCTGCAGGGACATCTCTGAATCAGGTGCCACTGCCAGAGACACTCCTTTCCTTTCCTGGCATTCCCACAGAGCAGTTCCCCAGGAAGCACAGCCGCGGCTCTGCAGTGAGGGGCTGGCGCAGGTTTCCCGCTTGCCCTCTCGTCCCTGCTCGTCCCTGCTCCGCCTTCCCAGCCGCCGCACCACGGAGTAACTGGCCAGTGCGGGGGGCCATATGTCCTCTGGCGTTTACGGCGGCTCTTACCAGTGCCTCCATGCACAGGCGAGGTAGCCAGGCACCGATTCGGAAATGACTTGGTGGCCCGGTTCGGTGGCACCGTGACAGTGCACTGCCCAAGCACAGCTGGGTCTGTGTGGAAGGGTACAGGGTCAGGCCCCAGTCATCCTGCACAGACTGGGCACAGCGCCACGGTCCTGGCTGGCCGGGAAGTCTGCGGGAGGACCACAGCGTGCACCCTGTCAAGAGCACATGGCCTCTCTCTTTCACTCTCACAGAAGAAAGAAACTCAAAACAATTTTAAAAATTTACTTGGAGTTGTGAAACTCGTGAATAGGTTGCAGCCTCTGGACCATGAGCCGTGACAGCCCTCACCGCCACGTTGCTTCTGCTCTGGGGGCCTGCAAGCCCGCACCAGTTTGCTAGGACAGAGAAGTTATGCCGCGGTAGAGACATTCGGACAGAGAGCCCATGTCTTCCCTTGGCCTTTCACGAGGAGCCCTCTTTTGTCGGGAGCAGTGATCTTTCCTGGATTTCTTATCTGAAAATTTCAAGAAACAAACTATGTTGGTATTTTTTTGTCTTAGTTTTGTTGTTTGCTAATGAGAATTTTTTTCTATTTCAGCAATTTTCATTTATTCTAGGAATTTCTGGTCTTCTGGACTGAGGTGCTCTTTGTGGATTGATCTCTGTTATTCTTGAAAATATGGCCGAGTACCCACTAACGTGTCGTCACGGGAATCACTTTCCGGGAGCTAGCCGAGTGGTCTCTGAAAATACTGGTTTCAACTTAATGGCTGACAAAGCATGGTACTGCCATGCATAGATATTATATTCATTTATTTTTTAAAAGCTGTGCTTGGAGGTGGCAGTGGCTGTCACTCTTGTTCTATAGCTGAGTGTCTTTGCTGGCCTGTCAGTGGGGGCTTAGCTGTCGATAGTAACCCAGGCACTGTCACACTGGCTCTGCGCTCAACTCAGGGCTGTGCCCACAAGTGCCACTGCCTTCCCGGGCCTGTCCCTCCTCCTGCAGGGCCCGGGCACCTCTGCTCAGGGCTGCTGGGACATCATTGGGCACTGTCCTAGAGCCGCCCTGATTGGCAGGGGCTGCCATTCCTGCACTTGTTCTGAATGTTCTCAGTACCCAGACCGGAGTCCAGCAGGCAGCACGTCTATACACTAGGAGTGGTCATGTCCAGAGAGCCTGGAGTCCGCAGCATCTTTCTCTGCACCCATCAGGCCTACAGCAGGCCTTTTCCTTTTCCGTGTTTAAAGGAGTCGGCCAGAGGGCACCTGTGCTCGTTGGAGAGAGGAAAAGTGAGAAAGCACTCCCCATGGTGCGTGGTCGTGCCACAATCCTGTCTCCTCCATTCCTCCTCTTGGGATCTGGGCACGCACACACGTGGCCAGGCATGCTTCTCCAGCTGCTGGTCTGAAACGCAGACCGTGCAGCCACCCTAGCTGCCACTCTGAAGAGAGCAGATAAGCACTGAGACGCAGAAGCCCGCCCTGGAGCGAAGCCAGCTGATGGCTGGGGCAGTCCCACGCTCTCGGCCTTGCCTGGGCATGTCCCCCTGCCCGCCCTCTGCCCCCAGCTCTGAAACTGAGCTACAAGCCAGTTGGTAAGCAGCATGAGTAAGAAATGAAAAGTCACTCGTGCCTGACTTTCAAACTTTTGTTTTAACTTGAACTAATGAGGTTTTTAAAGATTAAGAAAATAAATAGGATTAAACAAGTAAGTAGTTGCACCAATAGAATTTTTAAAGATGCTGAAGTATGACAGTGTTTCTTAATCAGCTGGAGTGACTGTGACTAAATAGATTCCTTCTATTTATTAACAAAAGATCTTCTGATTTGTACTTTATGTTCCGGAGAAGAATGCCCCCAAGGCACTGGCCTGGATGGTGGCAGAGAAGGGACGCATGTGACGAACAGGCGTGTGCACAGCTGCTGCGTCCCGTGCGCCGGCTGGGTGTGGGCGCTGGGCGCGGAGTGGACATCGGTCCTCCCCCTCACTTGAGAAATCCCTGAGCATTCCCTCGTCCTTGTCTGGGCTGTGATGGCCTCGGGCTCTGAGCCGCAGGGGCTCCGCAGCGGTCACTCCCACTTCCTCGCTGCAGGAGGGGTGCGGGCTCCCTTTCGTCCCTTACTGTCAGCGATATGTCGGAAACCTTAGTGACGGCTCCAAGCATGCACAAGGAGAAAGCTCTGAAAAGCTGTTTAAAAATAGCTACTGACACGATCTGTCTCAGGCCTGCAGGGCGAGACTTCTACAGGGCTGGGTCCGTGGCGTCCTAACAGTGGAAACCTCAGAGGGTTATTTTAGTGCGGGAACAAGTGAGACAGAGGAGCAGACCTCGAACCGCATCCCTCGGGAAGCGTGGCTGGTTCCTGTGCTAGTCACCTGCCCTTCCCTGAGCTGTCCTGTTGGTTAAGCAGCCTCAGTGCCTGGAAAGATGGGCACAGCTACAGGAGAGGGGTCTGTGTTTCTGCACTGGCTGAGGGGTGGCGGAACAGCCGCTTGTAGGCTTTGCGGGAGCCGGAGGTCTTGGGAGACACTGGACAAAGGGCCCCGTGGGCTCGTCCCACCCACGTCATGGGGAGAGACATGACCGGGCCCCTTGCACATGAAAACTTTGCTTCCCTTGCAGCTATGGGGTGCTGCTGTGGGAGCTGCTCACGGGCGAGGCCCCCTACCGAGGCATCGACGGCCTAGCGGTGGCGTACGGGGTGGCCGTCAACAAGCTGACCTTGCCCGTCCCGTCCACCTGCCCCGAGCCCTTTGCCAGGCTCATGAAAGGTACCTTGCAGCTTCGTGCTGTGTCTGTGGGGACAAGAGGTCGCTCCCTAGAACTTTTTTTTTTTTAAATCGAGCGATTTCTATGATTCCAATTCTCAAATACTTTTATGTAATTGTACTATTTTAAGAATTAGAAACTTGGTGTTTGATCTTAGAAGTCAGGTCAGGACTCAGGGAACTAACTTAGCAACAATCCAGCTTTATCAGTGACCTGTTTATGATTAATCCGAACTGAACGGTAACAGAATTCTCACCCAGTACCTTGTAGGGCTCAAACACAGTTCGGGTTGGCTCCAGAGCTGCTATTTGAAAGTCAGCCTAATGGTCAGAGCTTTTCACCTTAACCGGCGTGGCTTTGCCATGACCGTGTGTCTGATCTTTACCTTTTGTAAAACAATAGATTACTTTTTTAAGGTGTGTTTGTTTTGCTATAGGGCATGTATGCTCTCTAGAGAGAGACAAAGACAGGGAAAGTGAGAAGTCATCCCCCAGGGGGAAGGTCCACACCGTAATCTCCTCTCCTCCAGTCTTCTCTAGGGACTTCGGGCACATATGCACCCAGCATGACTCAAGCCACCTGCCCGGGACTTGAACTGTGGTTGGCCATGTGGGAGTCCAGCACCTTAATCACTATACCACTTGCTGACCCCAGATTACTCTTTCTATAAAAACAAATTACCTTACTTCACTATAGGCTATTTCATAGAACTTCTGGTATGATTACAATGTTTTAACAACCTGATTTAATTGTAATTTTCATACATGGATTTGACATGGAAAATGTAAAATAACGTTTTCAAAATCATTATCAATAGTCTCCTTTTTAAAGAATTACTTATTTTATTTATGATTATTATTTTAAAATTTTATGGGACCAGCAGATGGTGTAATTGGTTACATCACTGGACTCCCACGTAGTCAATTGCAGTTTGAGTCCCAGACCCGGCAACTTAGAACTCACGCCAGGTGTGTGTGCATGTGTGCCCAAGATCCCGAGAGGAGAATGGAGGAGGGATTGCAGAGTGGTCATCCCCCTGGGTGGTGATTTCTTGCTTTCTGTCTCTCTCTGTCTCTCCAGCAAGCACACGTGCCCTATATCAATAAAACAAAAAACTCTCTTAATTGTTTTTATTTTTTTTGCTATAGGGCACCTGTACTTACCAGAGAGAGAGACAGAGAGAGAGAGTGAGAACGCAAGCTGCCAGGGGAGTCCAGCACTTTAGCCATTATGCCACCTGCTGGCTCCTACTAACAGCCTCCGAAAGTCTGCAGAGCAGATACTATAGACTTGGGCTTCTGGTTTAGAATGACAGTTGATTTTTTTTTTTTTTTTTTTTTTTTTTTTTTAAAACACTAGAGCTTAT